AAATATTTGTAAAAAATACCAGACAAACAGAAATGGAAAGTAACTGAAAGTGATGTCAGTCAGAAACAGATCATGGGTTAGAACAGAACCAGCAGTGACGTAATAAAGATGTACAGGAAAGTGATGACATCATAGAACTGGAAGTGATGCCACAGGTCCAGATATGATGGAATAATGTTGTCCTGAGTCAAAGTAACTTTGAATCAGAAGCCAGTTGGGGGCATTGTGATAAAGACTTGAGTCTTTTATGTGGTTCTTTGACTTCATTAGAGGACATCATTTTAAGAAACTCAGTAATTTAACAGTAATTCACAGAAGGCATCAGATATTATCTCATTATTCATACAGATCTTCAAGCCAAATTGCATGGGAGATTAATGAAGTAACAGTAGGAATATATTCCAAAATATTCCTCATAATAAAGAAGAAGTAAATAAATTATCACCTTTAATGTGTATAACTTCTAAATGCCATTCAAATAATTCATGAAATAGTCAGTTTGCTAAATGAAAGAAGAGGATTGCCTTCTTTGTATACTGAACGTCCTATTATTAGAGGTGTATTAGAGCAAGCATCCACCTTTTCAATGAGAAATTTTCAAACGTGATAAATTTGAGAGTAAAGGTCATTAAACTATAACTGTGTATAAGTTTCTTATTAGGTACCTTTCATGAGAGTTCTGTATTAAAGGGGTACTTATCTCATAGGGGTGGGTATTGCAGAGAAATTTCATATTGCGATGCAAAAGCATATATTGTCTGAACCGGTTATATTGCACAGCCTTATTATCTCAAGCAATTCCACATGACTGGTTGTTGATTTTGTTATTGTTTTTATCCCATGGGTCCCAGATGATATCCTATAATTCTTGACTGGTTTGTCAACCCTGCTACACCAGCTGTAAGTGCAATTGATAGTATAAGGGCATATCCCAACATTGATCAACAAAGATGAAATACAGATTCCTCTTGGAATTGGGAGATGAAGTCATCTTTGTGACTCCATAATAGTTCAGTTATTTTTACACACCAGCAGCAAAATATGTCCATCTGGTTTATAATGGTAACAATCAAACATTTTGGAGTTTAATCTCATCTCTCATTGACTTAAGGTGTTAGGATAGAAACAAAAACTGTCAGCGTTAGACTGCCAGACTGAAGCCATGGATCAGCGCCCCATTAAAGGTATCTTGTATTCTGAAAGTGAATTTAACTGAATCTGATAATGTAGCGTTAGGCTTTCTGTTGTAAAGTTGTCTTGTGTTAAACTTGTGTTTTCCCAAACCAAAGGTAACATACTAAAGGAATTATATGTTATTTCATATTTGTGTTTTTAGCTAGAGACATATGACATTCTATATCAAAGTTGACCTGCATTGGGTTTGTGTTGACCCAATCTGGAATTAATTACTTTAAACTGAAATACTTATTACATGTACTTTGTTATTTAGGTAGCTAGATGTCACCCCCACCACCACCCCCACCCCCACCCCACGGGGCCTTCAGGACAGTGTTGGAATTGTGTTCTGTTTTGTTTTGCATGTAATGTAAACACTCTTCTAGTTTGTAGCTGCATGCATGTAGATAAAGTGAATATATGCGAGGACAGTTTTGTAACATTGACTAATACATATAACCACAGCATTAATACATCACATCTTTGTATGACAGAATTAACCTGTGCTCTGACTGAGTATGGCATCAGACGTTGTAAAGTGTATCTTTAAGAGGGGGGCATTTATGAAGAACAATACTAGCTATGTTTAGGGGCTGTATTTCAACCAAATACACAACACTGCTGGATGATACTGCAGGATGATACTGCAGGAATCAGAGTGACTAGGTATTCCTGGAATGAAGTGATCATTACAAAGTGTTCAGCACACTGGGTTCCAAGCCTGTGACGTCTGATCAGTAATACCCATGTTCATAGTCTTATCACCATTTTGAAGAAAATCATTACTGATTTTGTTGTGTGATAATCCACTCGCCCACACTCGCATGACCCCATTTTCTGAGTTGTTGATGTTTTCTTCATTTTGCGGTCAGTGGTCAAACCTTCAAATTGATGTAATAGATTGATAGGTCCATGGCTTTTAATTCAGATTACTACCCCTATCATAAGGTTTCTTTACAGCCATATTTACAAAACCCTATCTTGAACTTATTCGAAATTGCTCTCCTATCTTGGGTTTCTGGTGCATGCTGACAACCATTGCCTGTATATCGACCAGGTTTCTCAGCACCTCCAGAGAATTGATATAAGAGCAATTATCATAAATGTGCATTACCAGCCAAACAGGTCACAAGGCACCTGTACATTTCTCACAATCTGAGCTAAATAGGGAGCTAAAAGTTACAACCACTAAAAACTCTACATGAACTCATGGATCTCAAATTTCAAACTAAGAGACAACTCTGTCTGGTTCTTTGTTGGGCCTACACTGGAGGCTATAACATTATAATGTCATGCCCTAGAATCCCCCTCATGTTATCCAATCAAGAAGTTACCTGTACACAGACAGATGAAGGTCAGGGTACTGACACTGACGATGTCACAGTCCAAGTGAAGTGCTCGAACCCTGGCTGTGAGATGCATATCAACTGTCTGTATTCCAAGCAATCAAAGAATGAGAACAACCACTCTTGAATATTGATTGCTGCAGGCAATGCCATGGTGCTGGCTAATATATGACATAAAAAATGTTCGGGGTATATAGTTAACCCAAGTCAACTTTGGGGTTGACCTTTTCAATATCATATAAGACTGTGGATTTCACATTAAGACAAAATAATAGAGCAGTAACAAAAAATGTACTTTGTTTCTTGAATCATTGTATCTCATGCTGAGTTAGTATGATACAAAAAAAAGTAGGGACTTTCAATATAAATGTTAAGACAGGTCGCCAGAGGAATGATCACCAGAGTAAAATCACAAAACTAGATAATCAATTATCAACGTTGACACCTATGGTACTTGGATTGTAAAAATAGCCGAAGGTCTTGTGTGATGTTTTCAGATGAATCCTGAATCACTCTGGACTTTCTGCATATGCATTGACTTGTCTGGGGATATTTGCAAGCATCAACATTAGGCAGCATGATAAGTTCAGGGGTGCATCTGTTATGATATTGACTGGATCACTGTGACTGACAGAATGCCACTGCATATCATCCATGGGAAGGGCAGTGGAAAGTACTATTGAGACAACGCATTGGCAACAATAACCATTATACACCATTATGGTCCATGATTGTCTTTCAAGACTGCCTCCAGCAACAAAACATCCCCAGAATGCGATGACCTGCCATGAATCATGACTTTTCCCACTTAGACCATGAACATGATTGGGAGACCGAATGGGGGCAGCCACTGCATGAAGAGTGGACAAGACTCTCTCATAATGTCATTGGGAGACTGATGCCTCATATGTATGAATGCTCGACCAATCATGGGATTGGTCGAGCATTCATTGACCCTTTATTGATAGACTTACTCAATGTTCATATTTTATACCCCTGACCCAGAGAGGTCGGGGGTACCAGGTGTATAGTTATACCAATGAATTCTGTCCACCCATCTGTCCATCTGAAACATTTTGTTCAACCAAGTTTCAACCAAACACTATCGGTTATATTTTGTTTTTAAATTTGGGAAATACATTTATGGTCTGAAAAAGAGGTGCTGTGCAAATTCTGATTTTGATATTAAAAGTGTTTGAAGAATTACAGCAATTCCTCAAATTTGAAATTAGAGTGTTTGTCAACCAGCTTCTTTGTCTAAAGGAGAAGTGCAGTACAATGTGTAGTTCTGATTTTCTGATTTTTGCAAGAGTCAGTTCACTCATGGGTAATTTTGTTCAAACAATAACTTTAACACATTTACAAAGATTGTTTTCAATTTGGGAATCTCCTTCTATAACTATAGGAGAGTTGCAGTGCAAAGTTAGTTTTATGATGATATTTTTAACTCATCATCAAGAATTATCACAATTTACATCTCTTGAACCATGCCTCATTTGTTCAACCAAAAACTTTACAATCATTAATATTGGATTGTTTTCAGATTTGGGTAATGACTTCTTTGTTAATAGGAAAGGTGCATTGCAAAGTCTGTTACAGATAGTTTTATTTTTCCATAAGAATAATCATAATAAATTTTAAATTCCCATGGCAAATTTGTACAACAAATAACTATTTGATGGACTGTTTTCAAATTTGGGGAACAACCACAATGCCTATGGCATAGGTGTCCCCAATTCAGTACATGTATCTGTAAATTGTGAAATAGTGTCACAGATCATTTATTCTTTTATGATATTTTGGGAGTACCTGCATGTATTTTTCCCTTTCAGCTGTTCTTATTTAACTCTCAACACACTCATACCTAATGCCACCGCACCTACTGGCTCCTAGTTTGAGCCGTTTTTGGCGAGCAGAATATATTTGTATATATATGTTTTAGCATTCAAAAGTTTTCCCTGTTAAATCTCCATCAGCAAAATCACCATTCATGTGAAAGCTAACACTTACTTTCCAAATACTTAAAGAAAACATGTTTCAGCTTGTTAACTATATTCACACCTTGGTTGTTTGAGCCTCACAATACACTGCCAACATGTTCTGTTGATTTTTAAGTTTCAGCTAGTTCTTTTCTCTTGTCCACCAATACCCTCATAACTCTTTGTATTTCTGTAATCATCTGCTAATGTCCACTATTTTGCTGGGAGAGTATATCAGTATTTACTCTTCATCAACAAATTTGTAACAAGTTGATCAGCCTGTTTGCTGCAAGCTGACCCTCAGTATGTAACTCAAAATGGAAAAGATGTGTGTGAAATGACAAGCAACTGAAGTAAAATGAAACTGTATGACATCATGATATCAGTTCAGTTGATTTGTATGAGCTGAGATCAGATCTAAATTTGTCAGTAATGCTAGTATCCTGCAGAGGTGCCTTGAGGTTGTGGCTGCTTCTATAAGTATATCATTTTCCTTCAGGATCTGTCAAAGAAGGTGGAGGTGTGGATGGAGAAGTATGAGACTGATGTTGAGGACAAACAAAGGGAGCTGGACATTCTGAAGGCTTCCAAGGCCAAAGACCTTGAGAGACTCCAGGACCTGACAAAACTGGTACTTAATGATTATGCAAACGAATTAGTATATTGTTTTTTCAGGACAAAATACAGGTTTGCATGGTTTAAGTTTCAATTAGCTCTTCATTGAATACAAAGTAGGTGTATCTCCATTCTATCCTAACAGGGACCCGTGGAGATCCGGGGTAAAATTGGTCTTCAGCAACCTATGCTTGTCTTAAAAGTGATCGAGTTGGTCAGAGTGAGTGTAGTTTTACGCCGCACTCAGCAATATTCCAGCTATATGGCAGCGGTCTGTAAATAATCGAGTCTGGACCAGACAATCCAGTGATCAACAGCATGAGCATCGATCTGCACAATTGGGAACTGATGACATATGACAACCAAGTCAGCGAGTCTGACCACCCGATCCCGTTAGTCGCCTCTTACGACAAGCATGGGTTACTGAAGGTACATTCTAACCCGGACCTTCAGGGGTAGTTGGTCAGACAAGCGACTTGGTCATCATCATACCCCAATTGTGTATAGCAATGATCATATCAACCACTTGATTGTCTGGTCCAGACACAAATATTTATGTTCTTAATGTTCAAGTTAGCACTGATGTTGTGACAAGACTTCCCTGATTCAGCATGACATCATGTATATTCAGAAAGTCTACGTCTTGCCTTGTCAAAGAAAGTTAATTTTTGTTACTGTCATTTTATGAATCAGTTAAGAAAACTGTGGTGCACATACTGCAGTGATGAAATTTATAGCCCAATGTGCTTAGCATCTTCACAGCACATGAACATTGACACATAGCTTTTGAGAAATTGTGTGAAGCACTTGTTTTGCATGTGCATTCCAGTATGCAAGGGTATGATCGTCTGTTTGGACCAAAATTTAATAATTGCCCTTGGAGTCAGGTGGTGCTTATCTAATGCTCATGTGTATATGTGATTGAATTGTAAGTTTGCTGGAGGCGATGAGGTAGCGTCCGCTCATCATATCACATGGGTACAGTGTGTGAAGCCCATTTCTGGTGTCGCCCATGTGATATTGCTGGAATATTGCTAAAAACGGCATTAAATCATACTCACTCACTTATGTTTGTTGTCCTTATACTTTAGTATGACCAGAAATTATTGAGAATTTTAGGAATATGTTAATTTTTCTTATCCTGACTCATGCTCTTTTGCTTGTCTCCTTCCTCTTGCGAACGTTAGTGGTACACTTGTATCTCCTATTGAAGCTCCCTTCAATAAAGACAGACGTAAAATCCCTACTCACCACGAGTTATCTGTGTGGCTGTTTTGGCGGGAAAGCGGCGCCACCGTACTCCCATGCTTCACTCTCTCCTTCTTCGCCCTGTGGGCAGGTTGTGAGAGCGCCTGTGTCTCCTATACGGCACTATATCCTTTAATTACTTAGTTATTCTCCTCTATTTTACTTTTATAGAGGTTTAGTTAGTATTCTTCAACAATATGGTTTGATATTTAATCGTATTTAGCACTGTTTATTCACGGAATTGTCCGTGTTTGTTCAGTTGTTTATATTTCATGAAAACCTATTTTCGTTGTAGGTTTAGGTTCGCTGCTGCAAACCCGCATTGACTGCCCTTGCTGCACAACAACATGTACTTCCAGCTATAGCTGTAATCTTTATCAGCATTTAACAGAAATTCAATTTAATAAATAATTTTTCTCTGTACTTAGACGTACTACCGACAAATCAAGGTGATTTTACAAGTCATGGATAAACTGGCTGAGTCCCTCACGAGCTGTCTACTGCTGTCAGATGACTTACTACCATCAAGTGACCTGCCGGAGGTGTCTTCGGAGGATGGGCGTGGGATGTTGTCCGCCATTACTTCGAAGATGTTGGCTTCTACATCGATCAACCCCTCAACGCAGACGTAGAAGAAGAAGCCATTCTCTACGCAGAATGAAGCCTCACACCCCTACGACGCCTAGCAGCTCTACGGGGACTCCTGCGCAGACTACAGGGACCTTTCGGCAGACATCGTCCCGATGGCAGTGAGATGACTTCATGATGAGCCGCTGCTGATCATCTCAGAGATACAGCACGCAGTCCAAGGGCGGCAGATGAGCGATCCCTGGACCATATCGCTATCAACGCAGAGAGGGCAGCTCTACAATCATCGCAGACGATGAAAAAGAAGCCATCCTCTACCCAGAGAAGGCTACACACCCCTCAGATGACGACCAACTCTACGGGGACGTCTGCGCAGACTACAAGGACTTTCTCTGCCGAGATTGTCCCGATGACGGAAAGAGGACTCTATGATGAGCCGCCGCTCATCATCCCCGAGATACATCACCAGTAGAAGCGGGCCTCAGCAACGGTAACATCAGCGCAGTTGTCTACGCAGTCCGAAGTATCTACACTGACGGCAGATGAGAGATCCCTGGGCCATATCGTCAACACTGGACCTTCGCGAAGGTTCCAACGCAGACGATGCTTCAGAGAGGCCATCCAGCTACGGGACGACCGGGAACAGATCTACGCTATAGGTCGTCAACCAGCCTGCGCGAAGGACGACACGCCTATCCCCAGATGCCGAATCAGATGATCAGCATTCGCAAAGGCACTCGCGAAGGACGACACGCCTATCCCTAGATGCCGAATCAGATGATCAGCATTCGCGAAGGACGACACACCCATCCCCAGATGCAGAATCAGATGATCAGCATTCGTGAAGGCACTCGCGAAGGACTTCGGTCACAGCCTCAAAGACATCTTCAACATCGCATAGATCGTCGAGGGATTCACCGAAGCATTCGCGAACCAAGAGCGCTCACCTGCGCGCAGGTCTCCCCGCAGGTCGCCTTACAGACGGCTCCTCTCCACGCCGATCTACACGCAGGTCTCCGCGCAGGTCTTGACGCAGGTCTCCACACAGGTCGTCACACAGGTCTCCACGCAGATCCCCAGCGAAGCAGAGACGCCGCAGTACTTAGCTTCTCAACAGAACGCTACATGTCGTCACCAAGCCTGCGCGAAGGCATTCGCACAGGCCATCTACAACGCAGAGACGTCGCAGTACTTAGCATCTTAACAGAACGCTACATGTCGTCTACAACTTGCGCGAAGGACGGCGCTATCTTCAGAGACCGTCAACAGATGATGAGCCTAATAAAGGATCTTCAGGCCGACTACCTACATCAAGGGCATCAACGACGCCTCGCAGATCATCACGGGAATCACCATTTCGGAATATATTGTCAGGAAGGCAATCCTGGACTACGAGACGATTACCTACACGCAAGGCGCCATACAGTCACACCACGCCGACCACCATGCAGATCGCTACGCAGATCTTCAAGGTTATTCAACCAGGACACGAGGGCGACTGGACCTAGGGTCACCCTAGAAGGGAAAGATCTTTGTCGGCACACAGACTGAAGGGCATGTCATAAAGTTCAAGAGGGGTACTCTTGTCCGAATTCATCAGTGGCACGGATCTTCAGACTGAATCCAGGACGGGTTTCACATAGATTGATCTATCTACTTTAGAAGACTCATGGCCTTCCATACAGATCTGCAGATATTCTCACTGGCGTGGTTCAACAGCAGCCTTGCTAAGGCTAGGTAACTACATACTCATCAACGATTCCCTGAGTAGAATTTCCAACAAAGTTCAGCATTAATTCTACAATTACGACGCTTCATTGAGATAGATGTATGCAGGCTACAAGAGCAGCACTGACAACGTGCAAGAATTCAGCTGATCATCTGTATAAAGGGCGACGACATTATCTTCAGAACTGAAGTAACAGTCACAGCAGCCAAGAAAACAGCCTACCTACATCGGTATTACGCGGCGAAATATTTCGCGCGTTTACCATTCAACCCTCGATACACGTGGTCACTCGTGTAACTCCGGAAGGCTACGGACAAGACCAAGAGGTGATCAGATATCAACGGCAGCACTAGATTCTACAAGGCCCTTTTTTCCTGCTACACCGGTGACGTCACAGCGCGGCAAGCCAAAGGAATCAAAATGCTTTATTTTGATTGGACCACGAGAGACAACGCCCTGCGCAGAGGTCGGCCGTAGTTCACAGGTCAAGAAGTGGGTTACAAGTGACAACAACCTGTCAGCGAGAGAGGAAGGCCTCAATTACAGTCCAGTTAGGCGGGACCTACGTGATTTGGCTGTCTTCACGAGGTTAGAGACCTTCCCTGTCATCATTGCAGACGATTCATCAGACGAATTGCAGCAACATACGTTGGACAGGCTTTGGGTGACGGCAGCCAGACGACTTTATATAGACTTCACACCGATGGCAGTCACGGAGCTGGACATCGCTTCATTTCCCTTACGGACACGGCAAGGGTTTCTAGATCGTAGGATATAGATACAAGTCCTTGTATCTCAAGCACTACTCTCTCCCGTTATTACTACGAAGTGGCAGAGTCTGTTGGTTCTTCTCACGTCAGCACAAGACATGACATGCAGAGGAAGTCTACCACTACACCCACTACAGGTCTTCGTGAATGTATGACTGGACGATCCGGACCCCTTCGGACTCCCGGACAGATTAATTCCATATCTAATATGGTGGACTCAGAGATCGGAGGGTCGCAGTCGCACCTATTTAGCAGAGCCGGAGTTTAAGACGCATCTCTATGTGGACGCATCTCTCCAAGACTGGGGAGCACACCTCGACAACGATGTGTCAGCTGGGATATAGACCATAGCAGAGAAGATCTGCACTTCCACATGCTGGGAATGAAAGCAGTGACAAACGCCATACTCCACTGGACCAGCATTTTGAAGAATGCTTATCTTACGGTACATACAGTCACCTCCTCAGTGGCGTTCTACATCCACAGAAGGATCAACAAGGTCGGCGAACCTTCTGGACCTCTGCTTTCCACTGACCAGCATAACAGTCAACCTGAATGTCCACATCAGAGCATGCCACATTCTAAGAGCCAAGAATGTGATAGCAGATGCACTATCCTCTCCAACGCAGCCATTCTCAACAGACTGGATGCTACATCCAGAGATCTTCAAACAGATCATACGAGAGATGGGAGCACCATTAATAGACCTCTTCGCCACAAGGGTCAACTGATAACGTTCATCTCACCAATACCAGATCCACGGGCATGGGCAACGGACACGCTAAGCATCTCCTGGCAAGGACTAAACGCTTACGTGTTTCCACCACCAGCTCTAATACCGAGGGTGTTGCAGAAAATCAGTCAGACGAGAGACCTACAACTACTTGAGGCGCGCCTTACTGGCCAGCGAGAATATGGTTCCCTATTCTCATACAAGACCTAGGACTGCCTCAACTGCAACTACCAGATTGGACGAATCTACTAGTACATCCTCACACAAAGCAGGCGCATGGCAACCCAGAGGTGTTCCGGCTACACGTGTGGACTGTATCAAGGCAGGCTTGAACAAGAGAGGATATTCCGCCAGGGCAGCGAAAGCAGTCACACTAGCTCTACGCAAGTCTACACGCAACTTGTACGACGACAAGTGGTGACACTTCGAGACATACGCTTCGAGGACCGGCTTCACAGCCATGAAAGTGACACATCCTCAAGTGGCGGACTACCTTTGTCACCTAGACAAACGAAGCGGTTAAAAGGGTCAACACTCGCAACATACCTAGCGGCATTGAGCTTAGTTATCACCATGAGGACGAGTGCAACTGACGAAAGTACCAGAGTTACTGGCCTTACTACACCCTGTTTATTGGAGGACCAACAACAGAGATTTAAAGCTCCGGCGTGAGACCTCAACGTAGTTCTACGACATCTCACTAGTGACATTTACGAACCATTACAGAGAACATCATTCGAGTTCTTGACGCAGAAGACGCTGTTCCTGATAACTTTAGCAACAGCAGCAAGGATGTCGGAAATCCATGCTCTGGACTTCGAGAGAACACGATTTGATGGAAATCAAAACATCGTGCATATGGGACTGAGATGGGACTTCATAGCAAGAATCAACTGCCAGGTCATCCAGACAGACAGTTCCACGTCCCAACACTATCATCATTCCTTGGCCCACAGGATACGCAGGACCTATCCTTGTGGCCAGTGAGAGCATTGCAAGTCTACCTACAAGATCTAGGTCCAGGAGACGGAAATTCAAGCGTCTTTTCGTCCCGATATCGACAGCAACACAGACGGAGGTCTTCCGCACTAAGATATCAAGCTGGATCAGAACTGTCATACTACGGGCCTACAAAGCAGCAGGATTTGATCCTCCAACCCACATGAAGTTAGAGCTCTGGCATCAACGCTCACTCTACATGGGAATCGCTCTATCAGGACAGATAATGGAGGGCTGCTTCTGGAAATGGGACATGGTGTTTGCCAACCACTACCTGAGGGACATCGCCACCGAGGACGGCTCTGGCATTCACCATTTCGGCCCACTTGTTGTAGCACAACAATTGACAGTCCCACAAAGGCGCTGAGACGGAGTCTCGCCCTTTTATCACATGACTTGCAAAAGCCTACACTCAGGAGAGTTCAGCTTTAGAGTCTATATGCACGTCTAGGACAGACTAGCATAAGTGATATGACCCAGTACTTGTAAAGACATACTCGTACAGGAAAGGGTCGCTTTTCCACTTGATGCTCGCATCAAGAGATGGAGTTGCAAAATCCACATGAAATGTTAACAGAAGCAAGGACCAAAAGTTAACAATTGTGGTCCCCCCATCAGAGAAAGCTGGAAGTGAAGGGTTACAGCAGCAGCAGAGCCTAGCAGTAACAGAAGTGCTACCAGGAAGTTCCCATAGGGGGGTATGCAAGACTTAAATCACTACATGAAATCCAGAAGTAGCTTGACCCACCGCCAAATCCGTCGGATTCTACAAGCAAAAGAGCATGAGTCAGGATAAGGAAAAATATGTAATTTTCTGAATAAAATTGATATTTTATACTTATCCTGACTCATGAGGTAAGCCCTCCCAACCTCCCCGCTAGACACTTTGGATTTCCCTGTAAATTAAAGTGTCGGGATCATAATTGGGAGAGAGTGAAGCATGGGAGTACGGTGGCGCCGCTTTCCCGACAAAACGGCCACACAGATAACTTGTGGTGAGTAGGGATTTTACGTCTGTCTTTATTGAAGGGAACTTCAATAGGAGATACAAGTGTTCCACTAACGTTCGCAAGAGGAAGGAGACAAGCAAAAGAGCATGAGTCAGGATAAGTATAAAATATCAATTTTATTCAGAAAATTACATAATTGGATTTCTAGTATAAACAACCATGACCAGCTGTCATGTGCTTGGTTTCATTCAAGAGAGACAACTCCGTTAATCCTTTTTCATTAGTTTGTGAAGAGTTATCCCCCTTTGTTTACTTGCTAGCAGACGACATTTTCAGTGATCCTCAGTATGGATGATTTAGAGAAGATGAAGTTGATTTTAAAGTATTATAACAAGGACATCAGATCAGCTAAAGTGATTTCAAGTAGGACAGGCATCCCTTTGTCCACTGTTTATCGTGTTTTGAAAAATATTGCAAATGGATATGACTTTGAGCACCAGGGAAGCGCAGGTAGACCCAGAAAATTGACTGTCGGTGACAGGAGGCGGCTTGGTATTCTTGTTTCTAAAAACAAACGAAGGAGTTTAGAAAACTTAAGGCTGGATATGATTGATAGAGCTACTGTGGCTGTCTGTAAGGAGACAATTATGCAATGGGTTGGCAGAAAAGTCGAGGAATTCCATCACCGACCATGAAACCTGAACAAAAGGAGCGAAGGTTGAACTGGTGCTTACAGCATAGAAATTTTAACTGGGACAATGTGATTTTCTCAGATGAAAGTTCTGTGTGGCTGTTTCTTAATACACTGAAATTCTGGACCAAACAAACTGAAAAACCTTTGTATCAGCACCCAAAGTACAGTCCGAAATTTAACGTGTGGGGTGGCATATCTGTGTTAGGGGCAACGCCCCTCTGTGTATTTGAAGGGAATATGAACAGTGAGCGGTACACAGATATTCTCGAGGGATATTTACTTCCATCTGCTCATGTGTTCTATGGAAATCTTTGGATTTTCCAGCAGGATAATGACCCAAAACATCGTTCAAAGCATTCACAGGCCTGGTTTCGGACCCAAAATATGACATTATTAGATTGGCCAAGCTATAGCCCTGACCTAAATCCAATAGAAACTGTTTGGGGACTTATGAAGGAAAGTGTCAATAAGAAAAATCTGACAAATATTGCTGAAATGAAAGAAGAGGTGGTCCGATATTGAGACAGCATGGACCACGACTTTCTAACTTCTTTGATGAGTAGTATGCCCCGCCGCATTGAAGCCTGCATTGCTGCCCATGGTGACTTGACAAAATACTAACTGTTCACCTGTCTTTGAATCTGGAGTTATGTTCTGCTAATATTCACATTTAATACGTGAGTAATGAGTGCATTTTTTTAAAAATTTACAATCTTTAAATTCTCAATCATTTCTGGTTGTACTGTAGTTGGGGCTACCAGGCTATTCATATAGAATTTATGAAGCATATCATGCTAGGGTTGGCTGTTTCAACAATTTAGAGACATATTAATTTTATGATTTTCATTTCAGGATTGTTGGCTAATTAATCCATGAGCAGGAGGTCCTAGTCAATACTTGACGATAATAGTGGTGACAACAGATATGTAGTTCTCGTGATGTTGACCTTTGTTTCATTATGTCTGTAATCTTGAACATATTATGTCCCAAGATTTCATGTTTGAAATATATCCTAACCTATCAAATGTTTAGATGTAAATTAAAAGAATGTTACTTCCTGCACCCAAAATCTGGTTATGCTTTGTTTTGTTTCAGTACAAAGAATATGAACAAGTGGTTGTGGAGGATCGTATTGCCAAGGAAAAAGAAAGACGGAGAGCAGAGCAGGACAATATTGAGCTTAAGGCTTCCATAAGAGTAAGAAATATGATGTTTTCATTTTGACAAATGAATCTTTCCTTAGGCCATAACATATTTTTCATAAGGATTTCAACTTTTAGAAGTAAAACACACGTTTAAATCATGATTTTGTTTCAAGGGAGTATATCAACAGAAACTCCAACATTGATCACAGACAAAATAGCAGACTTTAAACATTACTGCCACACTGAAAAAAACATTTACCCATTGGATAGCCATTTTGGGGCATTTCAGTATACACCTATTCTGACGAAATGTGCACCAAGTGATAACAAATTTAGGTTCTTTTTTTTTAAATAAGTCATTTTATTGTTAGAACATCATTTATTGTTCACAAAATTAAAACTATCAAATGACAGATGTAAAGGAGAAAATGAAGATCGCCAATCATGATTGGGTACAATGATTGGGTAAACTAATTTGCATAAATTGATCATCAAACGTACTATACATGCGATTTTGTAACTAAGTGTTACTGGAAATATATTTCACATAAGTTTATCTGTATTATATTGTGATTAACAACAAAATTTGGCCATTACACAAATTGAATATCAATCTTGTAATCTACGTTACTGTAACACTACCATATCTATATAGAAACATAGAAAACATACTGGTGAAATGTTGCTGTGCTATTACACAGAGTTACATTAAAAGATACAAAAGTGATTAACTGTTTCTTGTTATATTCATTATCTAAAGTACAGACAGTACAGAAGCACACTGAAAATTCATCCAAACTGTAATCATGTTACCTGCTTAGTTTGATGTAGAATATCAACAATGATAAGCCAATTAAAAGTAAATAATCATTTAATGTACAGAAGAGTTCATGCTATAACTTTAGATCTGTCTTACCTGTGTAGCCCTGATAGTGTGTGATGAACTGTAAAGTCTCACTGGACAGTCACGCACATTTCAATCACGCCACTGAACAATAGTCTGTCATGACATGTGCTTTTGGCGCTTGGATGACTGTGCCAAAATTACTTCTGGAACCAGTGGACGGTCAGTGCCAATGGTACGTAACTAGTGTGTGCATACCGCAAATAAATGATGCTCCTTTCGAAATGAGTTCACGTAGATTACACAGACATCCTTTTGCACCCATCAAACGTTTAAAGTGTAAAGGAAGAGCATCTCCTTCACTTAGTTATTACTTCTAAATAGGTCCATTCATTTTAAAACCCTTTTAGTGATGCTGGATGTACAGTTTTTATCATATGGTGGTCACGTAGATTACATCCTTAAAAAAATCTCTACAACTTAAAACCTGTTAAGCATCATGGTGAGAAATCGGCTGAAATTTAGTAGTTGTTTGATTGATATTGTATTATCCCAATATAAAACTGAAAATAAGGCATACTATCTGATGAATTCATAATTTTTAAAATAATAATATTGTCATTTCCATGGGGTAACGTGGATTACTCGTTTATGGAGACATCATTTTAAGCATAAATTCTAAAACAATTAAACCATGTGAAGCTATGTTCTGCATAAGGACGATAGGCACAATACCTTAAGTCGAAAATGTAATCTGTTTTGTTCACACAAGATGAATATTTACTTTGAAATATTCACTCAAAATGTTATACTATCATTGGAGACATGCACGTTTTGGTGATTTTGACTAACTTTTTACCCAGAGTCACACACATTAACAACAGATCATTAACAATTTCTATGCCTCAGATACCTACCAAGCCTGTCGTATAATATAAATGGCAGACGGGCTGTGGGAAGACCGTTTTCGTGCTGGATATGTTGGAGGGGTACTACCGGGATGTGTTCGATAACATCGTTATCATGTGCCCTACTTTGCAAATGAATAGAACGTACACGGAAAGACCTTGGGTGATGACAGACCCGGACGTACACAGAGTCGACCCGGGGACACGTCTGCAGGACTGGTTGAAAGCTTATCACGGGAAATTTAAAGGGGAGTCGACGCTGTTCATACTGGATGACTGCAACGCTAATCGTGAGATAACAAAAAAGAGAGACATGCTATCGTACCTGGCCCTCTCCGGCCGGCACGCAAAACACAGCGTCTGGGTACTAACGCAGAAGTTCAAGTCGGTGTTTAAAGACCTCAGGGAGCAGACGCGATGGGTGGCCTTATTTCACTGCAAGGACAGGGATTCGTTCGAGGAGTGTTTGAGAGAGAACGATGTGATGAGCAAACATGATAGGGAACGTGTGAAGAAACAGCTCGCTGAAACTCAACATGCTAAGCTAGTGCTCAAGACCGACCAACCCGTGGCCTATAGGGTGTTTTAGCTTAGCAATGCTTAGCAAAGCTTGGCAATGCTTAGCAAATGCTAAGTAAAACTTAGCGTTTAGTAGCTATGACTTTTTTTTAAGTGTTCGTCGTGTGCAACTTAACCTTCATTTCGCTGTGTTTCACCTGCATCGGGTATTATATTATTAAAACTAAAACTTGCTTATTACATTATAAGATGGAGTGTGATGAATTGCTAGAACAACTGTTGGTGCCACAGTCGCCACAGGTGAGTGACGACAAGCGAGAGAGACTGGTGGCGTTGGCTGTTGGTGGCAAAGCCAAACATTACTTTGGGGACTACACTCCCGATAAAATTCACAAAATGTCAACCGAAGAAATCTATAAGCTGTACGCTAGATACGAGGCTAGACTCGGAGCCGAGATGACAAAGACTATAGGATCGGCTATGAACCAGATATACACTGGTATTGCGTCGTACTTCCTTCCCATTCCCCAGGAACGTCGACTTTACCTGTGGGAGGCCCTTGAGAAAGACCCTTTTATTGAACACGCCTTGAGCTCTATCAGCTGCGTGCTGTACCACAAATACTGTATGTTTTAGCCCCGGTGATGGCAGCGATTATCACGGCAAAGCATTGCCAATTTAAGGAGGGGAAAAATAATAATAATAATATACAAGATGGATGCTGCCCAAGAAATGACACAGGAGGAGACCCCACCCCAAATGGGGGAACCCCAGACCCCTTCAGAGGAAACCCCCACGTTGGGGGAACCCCAACTGGAGGTGACCCCTACAGTCACCAGGCAGAAGAACCCTAAGAGAGTAGCTGCCGGTAAAAAAAAGGTGGTCTAACCAACATAAAAGTAACACATGGAGCCGGGCTCCACTCCTGTTGATTGCAGGCGCAACTGCTGTCGTGGCTATCTCATGGTTATATAACAAACAACCACCCAGGGAGCCCCAGGAGGAACCCCCACAATTAGAGGTCAACCCACATATCATGTTATAAATATATATTTTTTATAATATACATAATGTCTGAGGGGAAAACGTTTGTCAACGACGCATACCACGCCACCGTGGTCGCCAGTCTAGCTGTAGGGTACGCTAGGTTGACCAAAATGGTGCTTAAACAACCGACTATCAAGCTAGATTTCAACCTGCAGGATATGGGTATGCTCATAATGAACCTGGGTATGGCGATGGCCACCAAGGACATCCTAGTAAAACAAGGCATCCTGCCGGAAAATATTTTGAAGTAAATGTAATTATATATAGGATGGCTCACGATCGCCATGATGGTCGTGCGGGCATTTGTAAACGCCCTGGCATTTTCGGGAGTAATTTCCTCTTCTCGAAACTAAAGGGAGTCACACGCGGCTGAGATTCAGGCAGAGCGTGAGCGGCATGACCTGGCGGTGGAGAAATTACAAGCAGCGCAATCTGAGTACGCGAAAAAACGTCTCCAGAGGATCGATTACATTAACGAACAACTCAGGCGTGAGAACCATGCCGTTAAAACATTCCACGATGTCGACGACGCAGCGAGAGAATACTACCTACTAACAGGTAAACAGCTAGAACAACTCCCTCCTAAGCCCACACTCGCTCAGTACTACACACCATCCCCGGGGCAAATGGACCGGGAACTGGTCTTTATCGCGCTGGGTCTAGCAGCGACTGCGTTGGTTGCAAAACAATTAGACTAAGTACTCATATGGGTATGCCAAAGATGAGACCTGCTCTGTACCGATGCGAATACATACTTATGGGGAAGACAGAAGCCTGTGGTAGAAACTGCAGGACTGAGGGGTACTGTTGTTTCCACATGGGAAGCCCGAACTACACGTGTTCTGTGTGTGGAATCGGGGTGAAAGGGCACTACTGCCTATGCAAAGCTCACGGAGCAAACGTAGTCAGACATCATCTCATCTACGAGAATAAAAAGGACTACATAAAAGAACGTAGGCGCCTCCTCAGGATAGCAGTGTAGTACCCCAATTAAAGACTGGGCACACCTAGGTATAACAATGTTTGTGGAAATTGAGCCCAGGGAAAGTCGTTGCCTGAGAAGCTGGAAGATGGATGTGGGGGAAAGTATAGATATCAGTGTCCTCAAACCCATGATTGTTAGCGAACTATATAAGGGGTGTTCGTTTACAATCATGGTGAAAGTAGGGTTTGATGTGCCGTGGGCTGGGCACACTTGGAATTACTTTGATAGTGGCCGAGTAGATGTGCATGGGGGGATAGATATACTTGTTGGCGACTCGTTGCAGGTAATACAAAACACCCTACTATGCTGCGCATGTTCCGGGTGGGTTGAGGGTATAATCGATAAGGTCGACAGTCTGGTCAAGGCCAACAATACCTTCCCCATCACTGATCGATATACCGACGCCGAGACTCGACCCCTGCTGATGAGGAAGGGTGTGTACCCCTACGAGTACATGGATGGCTGGGCCAAGTTCGCCGAGACCCGACTACCCCCCATCAGAGAATTTTACAGCAATCTGACCGACTCGACAATATCCCAAGACGATTACTCACACGCGATTAACGTATGGAATAAACTGGGCTGTAACAATCTGGGTGACTATCACGACCTGTACTTGAGGACAGATGTACTGCTGCTAGCCAATGTGTTTGAGACGTTTAGGCGGACATGTTTCAAGCAGTATAAACTCGACCCTGCATGGTATTACACCAGCCCAGGTCTGTCGTGGGATGCCTTGCTGAAAAAGACCGGAGTTAAGTTGGAATTGCTCACCGATTACGACATGCACCTATTCATTGAGAAAGGCTTGCGAGGCGGGATTTCCATGGCAACCAAACAATACGCAAAAGCCAGTAATCAATACGTGAAGGGCTACGACCCGAGAAAGCCAACCAATCATATTCTCTACCTCGACGCCAACAACCTGTATGGCTGGGCCATGAGCCAGTATCTACCCACAGGGGAATTCAAACGGGCATCGCACGAGATCGTCCGGGTATCGTCCGATTTCGATGTTATGAGCATCGCACCAGATTCGAACAAAGGTTATATCCTCAAGGTTAACTTGGAATACCCCAAGGCATTACACACATCACACAACAGCTACCCCCTGGCCCCCGAACGTATGAAGGTTAACCCAGACTGGATGTCTGAGTACCAACATAACTTGTTAGGTGGGCGGGTGGCAGACGTTGAAAAACTCGTGCCCAACTTAATGAATAAGACCAAGTACATCGTTCACTATCGCAACCTACAGCTGTACCTGTCTTTGGGTATGAGGCTGACCAAAATACACAGGGTGCTCGTGTTCAACCAGAGCCCCTGGATGGAGCCATACATCAGAATGAACACGGACCTGCGAAAGCTTGCCACCAGTGACTTTGAGAAAAATCTCTACAAGCTCATGAACAACTCGGTGTTTGGTAAGACTATGGAGAACCTGAGGAAACGCGTGACCGTGAAGCTGGTTCGATCGAATGAGGAAGACAAGCTCAGGAGACTGATAGCCAACCCGGCATTCAACCGGAGCAAGATATTCACCGACGACCTGGTTGCCCTACACATGAAGAAAAGCAACATCAAATTCAACTGGCCTGTTTACGTGGGGATGAGCATCCTCGATTTATCCAAACACCTGATGTACGACTTTTACTACAACGAACTCAAGAAACAGTACGGCAACAGGTGTGAAGTGCTGTACACTGACACGGATTCCCTGCTGATGGGGATTCGAACCGAGGACGTGTATGAGGACATGAAAAAACGCCTCGATTTGTATGACACCAGCGACTATCCCAAGGACCATGCCATACACAGCACGGTAAATAAAAAGGTCCTCGGTAAGATGAAGGACGAGTGTGCTGGCACGCCCATAGCCGAGTACATAGGTTTGAGGCCTAAGATGTACTCCATCCTGAAGGCCGACAATGGTGAGATCCGGAAGGCGAAGGGTGTTAAGAAGTATGTGGTGAAACAACACATCAAACACGCCAGATTCAAGGAAGCCCTGTTCAAGACCCGTACCTTTAGACATAAAATGAACACACTTAGAAGTGATGGGCATAGGATATACGGACTGACGATAAACAAGACGTCCCTGTCGCCGATGGACACTAAACTTTGGATAGCTATTGATGGGATAAACACGTACGCGTACGAGCATGAGAAAATTGAACCAAGAACATAGATGTATATAGGCGACATGTCACGGAACCAGAGAAAGTTTGAGGCTATTTACTACAGCCCGCGTGGGTACTGGAAAGGAGCTAGCGCTGTACATAAGCTGGCTAAAATGGCGCGAGTACCCCCAAACGAGGCCAAAGCGTGGCTTGAAAAACAAGCCCTGTGGCAGATCTATTTACCGGCACCACGCTACGTGCCTAGAAGGAAGTTCGGTATTAACATACCCAATAGCGTTCACCAGGCCGACCTCTTATTCCTACCCCACGACAAGAGGTACAAGTATGCCTTAACCGTCGTGGACGTGTCCAGTCGCTACAAGGAAGCCGAACCCTTGACCGTGAAAGACTCGGCCCAGGTAGCCCGCGGATTCGAATGCATATACAAGCGCAGTCTGCTGACGTGGCCCACAGAGCTGCAAGTTGACCCTGGGCGGGAGTTCATGGGTGCCGTGTCACACCTGCTAGACAAACACGATACCAAGGTCAGGCGTGGCACGGCCGGAGCCCATCGCAGCCAAGCCATAGTTGAGAGATTCAATAGGACTTTGGCTGAGCGCTTATTCGGGTATCAGTATGCGAGAGAGATAGCCAACCCGGGGAAACGATCGACTGAATGGTTAACGCAGTTACCTCAGGTGGTGTCGGCCATCAACCATGAAGCCACACGGCTCACTGGCAAGAAGCCGGCCGACGCTATCAAACTAAAATCAATAGTGGCTGAGTCGGCTGCGCCATTGCGTTGGAAGGAGATACAGATACCAGATAGGGCCCTAGTGAGGTACCTATACCAGCCGGGGGAACACGAGGGTGATAGTCGTAAGCGAGCCACCGATCCGATATGGTCAGTCAAAACTTATAACATAGATAAAGTGGACATCAAAGCCGACAAGCCGAACTTGTACTACTTGAGAGATGGGCCAGGGAGAGGTTTCGTTAGAGAGGAATTATTGATCATACCGTACGGTACAATGTTACCTCCTGCCAACGTGGCATAGCGGCACAATAGTGCCACGTGGAGCCGGGGAGTTAACTGGGGGTTCAAAAGTAGTAGATACAATGGTGGCGAGATCTAAGGGCCTAACAAAAGCTTTATTTGTGAAATAAGGCTTTGCAGAGGCTTTTGTTGGACTTGATCCCGGACTATCATTATAACCCCACTGGATGCCGAGGTTTTTTTCAGGCACACTTTTTCATGAGGGTCGAAAAGTGTACGTTGTGTAAGAATTGCGCTCACGTGGTCCTGGATCTACCAACGGCTGTAAAATTACACAGAAATGTAGAATATTAAATTTCCTATCCGATGGTACAGATTCAAGTGCAAATACTTTGGCGATGTAAAAAATAGGCACTGTCCGAAATTTTGTTATGCGTTAAAAATCAGTAAATTTCTCTGCTTTTAATCGTGCACCAATAAAGGCACTGTGCGATGACTTTTTTTAATTTGGCATCTTTACAGAAAGTGAGTGAACAAAATACTGCCTGATGTCTGAACGACATAAGCATATATGAAATTGGTTTGTGTGCTTATGTATAAAAGACGCACAATAAATGTTGAAAATGTATTTTCTTGTATGACGTCAAACAACGACAGAGAGGTCATGCACATATAAAAATAAGGTGGGATAACTCTGCTATGCTTAACACTTGGTCATTGTAACTCAGACCACTTGGACAGAATTTGCTGTGACGCTATATTTTCGTGATGTTTTGTTCATGGTGAACCAAACTATTCCAATACAAAGATCTCAATGTGACCAAATACATTTTGGTGGTATCACATTTTATATGAAAAGATGGCATCGTATTACATGAGAAAGCATGTAATAGCGATTTGAATGGCCGTCTCCAATATGTAAATAAGTTCTTAGATTCCCTTATTCTTTTGTTTGTGTAGATGTATTTTGACTAATTTTGCACCATAATTAACAGAGTACTAGCCAGATCTTTAAATGGAATGAAATTACTGAAAAAAATACAACAATTTAGTTGATGTCATGGCTTGTTTTATGTATTTCGGGACGTCAGGAAAAGACAAAATTGGTATGTTGATTAGTATGTATCTCTCCCAGTTTCAATTAATTGTATAAAAGGCCATTTAAATAATGTCCTGAATAGATCAATGATTAGACAGTTTGACGGTGTATCTTAATATGCACAACACGCACACCTGTTTGGCATGAATTTAAAGTAGATGAAAAAGAATATTTCACAACACCTGAAGATATTTTTTTAAAGCATGAATGTTATTTTGAAACACAAATTTTGTCACGCCCATTTCCGCGCACCTGTTGTTGAGACCGATGTCTGTAAACGTTGTTGCGTCGGACAAAGTGAAAAGAAATACCAAACTAGCATCAACATGTCTCACAATTATATGTTACTCATATCAAGTGATGTTCCTAATATCAGCAAAAGTTCAAATAAGAGATACTGAGAAACTTGCATGTGCAGTGTTGATGAACTACTGTTTCCGGGTCATGGGATCATACAGGGTCAAATAGGTTCCGTGATGTGTCAATTACATAGTCAAAAACACAATGGGTTTTTTTCCTATGAGCTACGATTAATCATTCTAAATAGTGATTCGCATTAAATTTGGGTTTGCTAGACAAAATATCTAAAATTTTACTGTTAATATTCAATAACAATATATTTTTAGCAGACAACCCCTATCTGTGACATCACATCTGGTGACCTTTGCACTGACAAGAAAGCAGAAGTTAGATTTCGTGATCTTAATTTTCGTTTTTCTCTCGTCATATTCAACTGAAAATGATAATTGAAACACTTGTAGAATGAGAAGTTCTTCCACTTTTGCCAGGGCTTACACATGAAAGTCCTGTAAAATATGTTCTTATCAAAATAGCAACATTTTATGTTGGAGTCGGACGAAGTGCGCCATGTAACACCAGTGCAACAACGGATTTATGTGGGTTAGTGTCGAAAATAATGAGCCATAACACTTGAAATTAGGACTCGTGAATATTCATAAATCATGTATTATATCCTGCAAATTTCGTGACATGACACGTTGGAATAAATGTTATCATGCCATTTGAATAAAATATGTGATGACATCGAAAATACGATGTCTTTTAGCAGCATTTAGAAGTTGTATATAGATCTCTAAGATATTTCTTTACGGATGTAAACTTACAGATCCCTTCATCAGGTGAACTGACAGTTGAGGGGAATCTTTTAGCTGATAACGATGTAAGAATCTACATCGAAACATCGCTTTATGCAATAAGTAAGAAGTTGTCATCCATAAAGTTGTATGTTTCATTTGTAGAACTCCATCAGTCGTGTGGGGAAGAATTAATGTAATGATCAGGATGAGGTGAAAGCAAGAAAATATATTTTGTGTTTGCAGTTGCAAGCCTGGTGGCGGGGCATTATGGTGCGCAAAGGATTTGGTCCTTACAGTAAAAAGAAGAAGAAAGGAAAGAAAGGCAAAAAGGGCAAGAAGGGCAAGAAGAAGAAGTAGCATGTTGTAATCATAATAACAGTTTTAAGACACATGTGCAGATGTTCTTAAGGAAGCAGTAATTTCTAATTGATGCAATTTGGTTAAACTTTATTTACTGGATCATTTCAGATGTTTATTTAAAGAACTCAAATTCAAGATGTAATTCATGATTTTAAATATCAATAAAGGTGATTCTGCTGGTAATTTTGTTTATTCAATGTTTGCAAATGTAGTGATATGGCATAAATATGGAACAGATCATTCTCTTGTATAATGGTCATTTTTTTTAGTTAGAAAAAGTGATACATTTCTTCGACATTTTTCATACATTAGACATATTCCAGGCATTACATTGAATGCATAATATCCAGAGATAAGTAAGGCACACAGTTTATATTATGTGTTAACTTATTTCTTTCATCTGATTACATACAATAAAGTGTTTAGGATTGAAGCTCAAGGGTCAACATATGTTATATTTTGAGTTACACTTTCTCAGTAAAGTACAGATTCTAGTTCTTTTGATAGGTTGAGTCCCAACCGGGATTTGAACCCACACTCTCAGAGTTAGGCATCTGGTTGCCAGCACACAAAGTCAGCCATCTAACCCACTCAGCCAGTACAACAATGGAAGTTGGATAACTGGTAGCCTAAATCACATACTTTTTGTACCCTTCTAAGTGGTTATATGTAACATGTTATTATATGGAATATACTTTCTCAGTTAAGTACAGATTTTAGTACTTTTGTGAGGTTGAGTCCCAACTGGGTATCAAACCTACCTGTACACACTCAAGAGTTAGGCACCAAATCGCCAGCAGACAAAGTCAGCCATGTAATCCCAAACATAACATATGTTACATTTGGCCACTTTCTAAATGGCATTGTGTATTCACATGAAGGTCAACCTTGAAATCAAAAGGTGCAGAAGAAAATCATGAAATAACAACATGAGATGGATGGACAGTCAACAAATTATATTGAAATGCATAGGGTTAGGTTAACAATCATAACAGATAATACAATGGATCAAAATTTGGTGAAGCTGTAACATATATAGAATAAGAGCTTTGATACCAAAGTCACAGAATGTCTCACAGTTGAATGTCTTGATTGAGAAACATGCCCCATTCTTGAATCCAGGAAAACTGCTGCTCTCTGTATCTGTAATAGTGTCTTCTATGTCATGCTTTTGTGTTTTCCCAGCCAGCCTTCCCTAAAATACTGCCATTTTTGCTCTGAAATAATATGAAATTGCTCCACAATGGCTTGGTTGTGTTGCACCTCATTTTCACCAAACCATATTAGAACTTTATGTTTTGTGGACACTACTGTATAAATACTGATGAATGGATTTATTTCACCAAAACAGACACTGACAAAATTGGTTCTGTACCCTAAACTCACCAAATTCTGATGAATGTGTAGCAGGGCTTTTATTAACATTGCCCCAAAAGTAAGCTCAATCACAATTCATTTCATCATGCATTATAAACATCATTTTATGTTAAACATTCACACCAACAGTGCAGCAAAACCATAATTTTAGCAGTGCATCGACGGCTCTGGATGGAAAGCATGCATTTCACTCTGAGGTATCCTTTATATAGGTTTGTGTAAAAAACAGTTCAGGATTGACGCTATAGGAGGTGCACACGCCACTCAAACGATGCCTAGGCTAACGACAGAGGGGAATGGCCATTGGAAAGTTGCTCGGATGTAGCTCTGCAACCACTGTAGCTAGACAATTAGAGAAAGTTGGTACAGAAAGTTTGTACAACTATGGAAAGGACACTTGTGCTAACTTTCCAGATGGTCATCTTATCAAAAGAAGACAGACAGACGGAGTTACTGTTGAGCAGTTGGACAAATATGCCCATGATGTGTTTCATTTATTCCACTTTATTGAAGGAGGACTACCTGCACATGCCCTACAGACAAAAGTGTTCAGCCGTGCTAACATCAGACACCTCTCCATTACAAGCAGTGAAGTGGAACAGGAAGAAGACACACAGAGCAGACACAGGAACACCAGTACCAACATTGACAAACACATAGGTGAGAACGATAAATTCAGCCTGTTGCTAAGTAAGCCATTATGCTCCAACTGAAGCAATGTATATCACAAAATAACGACGTCACAATTCAGAGATTCGCCAATATTGAAAAGAAACTAAATAATGAACTTTCACGTAAAAGTAAAATCATAGAAGATAAATACCAGCAAATACAAGACTTAACACAAAGGTTAGAGATTCAGAAGATACAGCTGGTTTTCCATACTTAAAGCTGCACACCAAAGCAAGTTTGGGCACTTTCGGTCTTAATGCACCAAACTCCCAGTTACTTATATCAGATGGCACTTCAACACACGTAGGTGTCTTGCAAACTTTCATCATAATTATTTCCATCTTAGCTTCAAATGCAGTCAGACGACTTTTTATGGTACCTTTGTATTACGTTCAGTTTGTGGGGAAATAATTTCCAGGAAATCCGAGTTTTTGTTTGACTTATTTCTGTTTTATGCTGTACAATCTAGCCTTTCGTCCATGAAACAGGGGAGGTAATCCATGAATCATTATGTTGATATCACCGTAACATATACAATGTTTCGAAGTCCTTATCGTGTGCAACCTGACCTCACTGTGTTTCGCGTGCCTCGGGTATTATATTATTAGAATTAAAAATCGCTTGTTACATTATAGGATGGAATGCAACGACCTGCTCGAACAACTGCTGGTGGAGGGTGATAAGCGAGAGGAACTGGGCGGCGAAGACAAGCGAGAGAAACTGGTAGCACTGGCGGTCGGTGGCAAAGCCAAACAATACTTTGGGGGGGATCTATACCCCTGATAAATTCCAGAAACTACCCGCCGATGAGGTCGATAAGCTGTACGCGAGATATGAGTCCTGGCTCGGGGCCGAGATAACAAAAACTATAGGGTCGACCATGACGCAGATCTACACTGGTTTGGTGTCGTACTTCCTTCCAATTCGCTCGGAACGTCGGCTTTACCTGTGAGAGGACCTCCAGAAGGACCCTTTTATCGAACACGCTTTGAGCGCCATCAGCTGCATGCTGTACCACAAATACTGCATGTTCTTAGCCCCGGTGATGGCGGTGATAATCACGGCAAAGCATTGTCAATTTAAAGAGGGGAACAATAATAGTAATAGTATACAAGATGGATGCTGCCCAGCAGGAAGTGACTCCGACCCCAACACAGGAGCAGGGGGAGGAAACCCCGACACCGACACAAGTCACTAAGCAGAAGAACCCTAAGAGAGTCGCTGCCAGTAGAAAAGGGGGCCTAGCCAAGCGCCATAGTAACTATACTTTGTGGGTTGCAGGCGCAGCTGCTGCGGCTCTCTCATTATTCATGCTATATCGTACATCCCCAAAGCCACCCTCACCCCCGCAACCCCAATTAGAGGTCAACCCCCATATTATGTTATAATTAAATATATATCTTATATACATCAGTTGAGTTGGGTTTTGCGTCACATCGGCATTATTCCAGCCATATATAGTGACGAGAACAAGTTGAAAGTACATACACGGAAGGAGTTTTATTTCAAAAACATATATGCATTACATTGTCATTTAAAAGCAGAAAAAGTTATAGCGTCAAATTTAAAGGCAGGTAATGTGTTAGTCACATTTCACAGTTACAATTTATGATAGTTACATTTCACAGTTACAATTTATTATATAGATCAACTTCCCTCAGGTAGTTCACTATCAGATGAGCGCTCACGCGGGAGAACAGATCTTTTAGACTTGTTGCATCATAATGTGAGTCCCTTGCAGACGATAAGTCCACGCATTCAAGCAGAATATGCTTGATGGTGAAAACCTCATCGCAAGAGACACACATGGGGGGTCCATCCCCATCCGTTTTCAGCAGATAGTCATGAGTAAATCGACTGTGGCCAATACGACATCGTCGTAAAATTACCTGATCACATCTTGACTGACAACCCAAGTAGGTATAACCAATTGTTGGCCAATTCATACAGTTTATTTCTTCCTACTTGAGTGTCCCATCGTTTTTGCATGAGGTCCCGAGTATAGCTTTTGATAGTGGGTTTGAAATCACTGTACAGGATCAGCAGTGGAGATAAGGGCTTGTCAAGAGCTGCTTTTGCTGCAGCATCGGCTTTTGTGTTACCTGCTATGCTGACATGACCCGGCAACCAGCAGTGGACGATGTCACATTGGCCAGTAGAGAGGTCGTTGTAAAGTTCCAAAATGTCCAGAATGATTGGGTGACTTGAAGTAACATTTTGAAGTGCTTGAAGGCAAGATAATGAATCTGTGAAAACGATGAAGTTTTTGGAATGATTCTGCCATTTAATATAGGTCAAAGCTGAAAAGATAGCTTTGGCCTCGGCAGTGAAATGGAACTGTTGTCGGGAATCCTAGAGGAGACAGTTTTAGATCCAATGACTGTAGCACTGGCAACTTGGCCCTCATCCTTGGATCCGTCTGTGAAAATGGATCTATGGGTGTCATACTTGGAACGTAACTGGATGTATTCCTGCTGGAACACCAAGGGATTTGTTTCAGACTTTTTGAATTTAGTGAGGGTAAGATCGACCTGTGGTTTCACCATCTGCCAGGGTGGTGAAGACAGGAGTCGGTAAGGTGCTATGCTATTGAGATCAATTTTAGCTACAGATATGTGTGGTTGAATTCTGATTCCAAGTGGTGGAACCAGGCTTGGCAGTTTAGGAAACAAGTTTTCATAGAGAGGGTTGAAAACACAATTGTATGCTGGATTGGACTGATTTGAACGTAGTTTAGTGATATACTGCAGTGAAAGTTTAATGCGGCGCTGTTCAAGGGAAGGTTCATCAGCCTCTGCATATAGACTGTCTACCGGAGAGGTCCTAAAAGCTGCTAGGCAGAGCCTCAGGCCTTGGTGGTGAATAGAATCTAATTTTTCTAAATTGCTTTTGCAGGCTCCACCATAAACAATGGAGCCGTAGTCTAGTTTAGAGCAAACCAAAGAACTGTACAAGTGAAGGAGGGTAGTCTGATCCCCTCCCCACTCTGTATTTGAAACGACTTTTAGTAAGTCCAGAGCCTTCAAGCACTTGGTTTTCAAATATTTTATGTGTGGCAAGAATGTCAGGTGGCAGTCGAATATGAGTCCCAGGAATTTGGCCTTTTCTACTGCCTTGATGGGAGTATCATCTGA